ACAGACAGACAGACAGACAGACAGACGAGGAGGAGGTCGAGTCATGCGATACCAACTGTATGAATGTGATCCTGCGATATGCGATATGTGTGTCGTAAGACTTATATTTTGCGCAGACAATACCCAGCAAACGTTTTGCTCGTGGTTTGGTTACAGACAATTTGTCAGCTACACTTGCTAACAAAAGGATTGGTCTCATGCTTTTCGACACCCTATAACTAAACGACACTCGAGAACTGTTTGGAAAACCGCTTAAATATGACTTGTTCACACATTTTGAGATATATTGGTATCAAAATGATCCTCGAAAGACGCTGATTCTAATGATACCAATAACTCAAATTGTGTAACAAAGTCATTTAAGCGGTTTTCCAAACAGTCTGCAGAGGTGAGCAGTTTTCCAGATGGTCACCAGAGGTAAGCGGTTTTCTTAACGGTCGCTAGAAGTGAGCTGTTGTTATACTCATGTGTCGAAAAGGCGCCCAGTTCCAGCTGCAAGATACGCAATGTAGCAAAGAACTGTGTGGATTCTGCAGGCTACTGAATCCATGGACTCTTCTTATTCCAAGGTGCCGTAACACAAATTTGTATCGCAAATAAAGGATGATTTTCGCAATCACAACAACTCCCAAATTCTTCGCTGGCATCTGATGTGTTCGATCAATATTAGATTTTGAGAGATTTGATTTGATTTTTGATTTTGATTTATTGTGCAAAAAGAATGGTACATTAGGGCTAGAAGCCCCATTAGGTTGTACCAATTATGAGGTACATAAAAAAACAAAAGCAGAGAGAGAGAGAGAGAGAGAGAGAGAGAGAGAGAGAGAGAGAGAGACAGAGACAGAGACGAGAGACAGAGACAGAGAGGTGTTGACAGTACGTGACGCGCTGCGCCAGTGCTCCTGCGGCGCATGATGACGACACAGCCGGCAGTCTTCTCCAGCTTTGTCCAAACCTGGACGAGTGTTGGGAGCGACAGCTCTCCGCACCGCACCCGCTTCATGTCAGTCGGGGGAGAGAAGAAGAGCGTGCGCAGCGACACCCCGCCGAGTCTTGAGTCATCGTGACATGGTGCAATCAGAAGAGAGGGAGAGTTAAAAGAGTTCAGCATCCGTATTAGACGGATAGCTTATTTCTGTGGGGCATTGTCATACTCGATAATAGGCCAACAGCAGATGAGTTAAAGTTTGTCAGCCTGGAGCCAATTTTGTATTAGATGGGAGAGGGGGGAAGGAAAATATAGGGGGGGAAGAGAGAGAGAGAGAGAGAGACAGAGAGAGAGAGAGAGACAGAGAGAGAGAGAGAGAGAGAGACAGAGACAGAGAGACAGACAGACAGACAGAGGGAGAGAAAGGGAGGGAGGGATATGTCGCGATCCTATAAATATCGCACACGCTCGTCGCAATCTCACGAGCTATCGATGAGGTAGCTCAGTGGCCCTCCCTCCCTCTCGATCGAACGAATGTGTCGGACATCCCCCCTCCCCCTTTTCCCCCAGGCAGGTCGTGCCGTAAGGAAGCGACCCTCAGTAGTAGTATCACTCATTGTCTCCCTCGTGGTCTGCTTGACCCTGCAGGCCACGTGCGCCCTGCAGCGACGCGCTGAGGCAATCCGCCGTGTCGAGTACGGGGATCCCCGCATCACCACGTTCCCGTTCCGACTCTAACCCCAACCACAACCACTATGGGCCGTCTGGCCAAAGAGCCCCTGCCAACAGCAGGGTAGGCCACCCGCTCACCCGCCATGTACTGAAGAGCAAGGTGCTGCCTAACTGTGGGGCGTTATCATACCTCATTTTAAACTCATTAACCAGCCAAATTCTTCTTTAATTTTCTGGGTTAATTTTCGATTACCATACCTTTGTTTATAACAATATACAAATCATTGTCGTTTTAAGAATTTTTTTGTAAAATTTGAGGTTCTTACTGCAATGCTTGTTTTTATTATTATTATTCGTGAGAAATTGCATAAACGCAGAAAATCTGTATTCCAAAGAACTCAATTTAGATACCTCGATGTGAAGCTTTATAAGAGAATTTTGATTGAAGGGATATCCTATAGGATAATTCGAACTGCTTCTCTAAAATAAGATTGTCTTTTACAGTTATTGCAGCTTCACACAGAAGGACAACTTATACGCCCTGCTCTGATGGTCAGCGGTGTGACTCTTGGCGGAGGGTGGCCTGGAGCTGCAACATAGTGGCACACACAGACCCCCCCCCCCCCCCCACTCTCCCCGCGGTTCGGTTGGCACGGAGTCGGGAGAAGTCAAAGAGTTGCTTTGAGGTGAACAGACCGCCACCACCGCCGCAGCGAGCGACAGGGTGGGGACGGGTACTTACCGCCGGGTACCGCCGAGTACATCTGTTATCAAAAGTCATCGACCTAAGGCCTGAGTAAACCCTTGTGTGCTGCTTGCACTTTTCGCTCTTCTATTTTACTATTTACAGTCGTAAATCACTCAAGAGACATGAATATGAGATTTATTTTTACAAATAATGATACAGACATTTATTTGGTGCATGAGACGAGGGTGTACGCTACTTTTAGGAACGTGTCTAGCCGTGTAGGACAGCCGGCCGGTCCTTGCCCCACGGTGACGTGCCGGTGACGTCACTCGGACGTCAGTGTGAAGTCACCGAGATGACCCGCCGCTTCATGACCTCATCCCGGCAAGGCAACCGATCGGCCAAGTTTAGTACTCGGGTTGCCTCAGAGTTATTTCTGTTGTCATCGTTATTTTTTTTCCTTTCGTTCGTTTCTTTTATTTTGCAGAGTGTGGAGTGCGCGGTGCGCATTGCGTCCAGGTTGGCGGACCGCCGTACTGAGAAACGGAGTAAAAATAGACATCCGCAGTCCATTGCGCTGCGCTCAGTGAAAAAGAGGGACCGGACTAAGGGCTAGGAGGGACTGACGAAGGAACGAACAGACAGACAGACGAGCTATACGATTGACGATGACGAACGGACGCACACACTGACGGACGGAGACACGAAGGACGAGACGAGCTAAACAATTAATTATGTTTTATTGGAGCCAACAGTAGCAGACGGCAATAAAACGTGTTGGAAAAATGGAATGTCCGCGCCGACTATCGCACTTAATTGCGGGCAGGACCGCGATGCGCATTTCGCTGCCCCATCTCTCTCTCCTTTTCTTCCATCTCTCTTTTTTTTTCTCCGTGTGCGTGTGTGCACTTGTAGTTGCCCCACACGATCACGGCTGGTTTTAAAATGACAATGTTGTTTTCATTTGAACCCTTTAGAAACTTTAAAAAATAAAGTTACATGACATGTATACTTTAATTAATGTATACATGCCCATGTAAATGTGTACATGGCCATGTACGCATTTATAAAAGCGTACATGCCATGTACACATTAATTAAAGTATACACGTCGTTTACGCTTTATTTAAAGTATACAATATGTAGACATTTGAATTGACAGAGTGTTCGTTAGAAAAACTAAAAAAATAAACTAAACTTTCGCTGTTAATTTACGACAGTTTTTTAACAGTGTCTCTGACAGAAATGAAAACGATCGTATTACAGGGAAAGCCATAAAGAATAATTGATTTTGGGAACCCCTACCCTCTCCTTTCCACCCCTTTCCTGCAAAGAAAAAGTATTTGGTTGGGACAATGCATGAGACGAGGTCCTTCGTGAAAGCGAGGAGGAAGAGGGGGGGAGGGGGCAGGGTATTTGCCTGGTAGACGCTCGCGACAGAGCGTCTTGTACTTCCAGTTCAGGGTAGGGTGTGCATGCTGCCCCTCCCGCCTCTCTCACTCACACAGGGGCGCGCGCGCACACGCACACACACACACACACACACACACACACACACACACACACACCGTTATGCGTATTAGCCCGCGCTCCATACACGGCAGAGGCGCGGGACGGCCAAACGAAGAAAAACAAATTTCGGGCTCCACGTCATAAATTACTGGGGCCTCAGTCATCATCTCGGCGTGCAGTCGCTTCACTCTGCTGCATTCTGCTGCACTCTGCTGCACTCCGCTACACTCCGCTTGCACTGCACTCCGCTTTCGCTGCACTCCTCTGCACCCATATGCACTTCTCTGCACTCCGATGTACACCGCTGCATTCTGCTGCATTCTGCTGCATTCTGCTGCATTCTGCTGCATTCTGATGCATCATTCTGATGCATTCTGCTGCATTCTGCTGCATTCTGCTGCATTCTGCTGCATTCTGCTGCATTCCACTACACTTCTCTGCACTCCGCTGTTACTCCGCTGCACTCCGCGCAGTACTCCACTGCAGCTTCTCGACGAAGCCCTTCATCTCCTTCAAGGTCGGATGGGGCCCTCAGGGCCGGAGCCCCCGGGCCATAAGGAGACTCGCGTAGGAACGCAGTCGGACGGGGAGCTAGTAAGTGCAAGTGCGAGAGAGATAGTATGGGACTGGTGGAACGAGCAACCTGTCTCCCTCGCACGCATACGACCTCCCCACGGTCAAGCCTTGAACCATCACCGACCAGGGGTCGGGAGGAGGCGGTCAGGGGTTGGTTGGCCTGCTGCTCAGACGGCTTCGTCAGCTCGCCCTCCCCTCCTTCCCAATACCAGTTCCACGATAAAGCCGTAAAAAGAACTGCTTGAGGAGTCTCTCCTGCAGGTTCCCGGCGCTCAGTGCAACAGGGAGGGAGGAGTACAAAACGAAAATTTATTGGGGGCACTTAAAAAGTGCGCGGCCCTCTCGTATTATTGTTTACAACGTTGGCTGCATTACACAAACACATTACACGATACACGTTAACTGCACGTGAACCGACATTTGACGGCGGGTTACTTGTATTTCGTATGTCGGAGGCAGTCCTGCTCCTGCATACGCACGCTGCTGGTGCATTGCATGCACTTCTTCCTTATACCTTCCTCTCAACACTATTATTATGTACAGGTGTTCACAATTTGTTCGACGACGACAAAATCGACGCCGTAGTTTGTTGAAGGTATCCACAAGGATAAAGTTTTTGATCTCGTATCACCACATTTTTTTAAAATTTATTTTGTTGATGTTTGCTCACTCTCAGCCCTGTACTAACATTTTTCTAAGAAGATACGAACTACTTTGTAGAGCAGTAGTTACTCGCAAATTTTGTGAGAACAGTAATAAAGATAATTCTCTGGAAGTAATTGGGAACTTTCGTTTTCTTAGCAAAATAAAATGACTAACTGTCGATGGCCAATGTCCGCACGGCACGTGATTTGTGAGTGACTGAGAGTGGTGCCACGGCTTCGTACAAAACATCACTGGACGCGTCTTGAGATGGGGAGTCAGGACATGTTTTGTAAAACAATGTTGCGCCTCCCAGTCGCTCACAAATCGCGTGACGGACGGACATGATTGGCCATTTCTCCTGGAATTGCCCCGATCTTCCTAGCAACTTAACAAACTCGCCGTGTTACTGTTCGTGAGTGTTACTCGTCCTATGTATAAATAGGTACCCAGTAAAGTGCTAGTATGGGGCTGAGGGGGTGAGGGTGCGCGCTCATTGCGCAGGCGCTTCTAATGAGCGGCAGTCGGCTCACGACGCGGCCCGCGACACCACCGCAGTCAGAGTCAGGATGAGGTCACAGTATCGACACCACAACTGTACCCTGCAAAGGTAACACATTCATAGAGTTAGAAACAGCTTCCAGCAAGAAGTTTGAGAACTTTTCCTTCCTGGTCTATGGACACGACACGGGTATTAATAAAGGCGCATATCGCGTGAATCAATTCGTTCACTTGCGAAGGATGTCAATCTTGCTGACCTACCGGAGTGGGAATCGCCATGCAATGCGGTCACCTGAAACAGTGTGAATAAGTTGTCGCTCGTTTAAAACAGAGTTAATTGATTCACACCGAAAATCCTAGTGTGTGAACGTCGCACACTTGTAAGTGTGTAAACATGGAGAAGTATGTGAATTTCAAAGTTATATTCACACCTTTACTTCTCAAGTGTACGAATTTGCGTTAACACACCTACCTACTGGTGTGTGACATTCACACAAACTTGCGTTTCCAGTGCAGGTGATAGTCATACTCCTGTATGTCCAGTGGATTGACAACTGACCTGAGAGTTGATTATATCCATGGCTGTGTAGTCATGAGTACTTGTGCTTCCTAGGGGCAAGTCGTCCATCTACGTTTATGCAGGCGTCTGTCTCCTCGCCCTCGCCGATGGTCAAGTGGAACCGGTACAACCCATAAGGTAACACAGGGAACTTAGGGAAGGTAAAGTTTACCGGTTCGTTGACGCTGTACACGCCCTGCAAGTCAGAACAGCGCTGACATCGCCTTGCCCAACTATCAAGTATACATTGCACTGTAAAACACAAGTGATTTAACCGGTAATTTGTGTAATCGTGTACAGAATTTCCATGAAAATCCAAGTGTACAAATGTCACACACCTACACACGTGTGTGAAAAATGTACACGCTTGCAGGTGAGCGACAAAATGTCCACACACCTGTAGGTTGGTGTGCGACAAAATATTCACACATAGTTGTACTGGAGCGAATTAAAATTCATACATTTGGAAAGGTAGCCATTTACTCAGCCCAAGTGGGTGAATAGTTATTCACACAGCCGCAGGTGTGTAGGAAGTTTGTCGCACAACTGCAGACGAGTGAATTTTTTCACTCACCTGCAGGTGTGCGACAATCGTACACTTGGATTTGCTGTGCAAGTCACGAGAAGAATGCGTCAATATGGCTGCTCACGGGCCGGACGAAGCACTCCTTTTGGTCCTCGGCCTCCGTCTTGAACAAGGCCCGGAAAAGGCCTGGTATGTGCATCCGGAAGTTGGAGCAAGCCTTGTCCTTGAACGGGAAGACGAGGGCGTTTGGCTTCCACCCACCGTTGGAGGACGCGTCGTTGCGGACCCTTCCCTGGAAGCCGCCAGGGGTTTTGTTATTCGTGGAAACCAAAAACTTTTGAGCGCGAGGTGCGAGCCTTTGTCGCAGAGAGCTGAAATTCTACACGGGTTCAAATGTTGGCATGTCCCTTTAAAAAGTGCACTGGTGTAAAATAATTTGTAACAGTACTCGCGTGCCACTCTTGTTGGATGGACAACAGGCACATCTGATTCAAAAGAATCAGAACCTGGCTGAGTTCCACACACTGTTGAAACAACTGGGATTTCACGAAGGGGCAACTGTGGGAAAATAGGCCGAAGTCCTCGGGGATGTCTCAAACGTCTCCGTTAGTTGCGCCAAATCAAATAGCGTTGACCAAATGAGCAAACTAGTTTTGCATGCACTGTGAAAAATATTTTCGATATATTTTGTGACCATTCCTAGTGAGAAATAGCAGTTGAATCGACACCGAAAAATTGTCATTGAAACTGTGTCAAAATGGTGAAATCGACGTCGAAACGGTATAGTTTTGATAATTTCTCACTAGGAAAATGAGTCATACTTGTACTGGGTGTCCAAGCTGAGACATGACAGTACGTTGGGTTGCCTATTCACTGGCTGCAGGGGCTGCAGGCGTGGGGTGGGTGGTGGTGGAGTGGCAGATCCCCCACCACTCCCCCGCCACCCGCCCCGCGCCTGCAGCCTGCAGCCGCAGTCAGTGCATAGGCAACGGCAACCCAACGTACTGTCATGTCTTGGCCTGGACACCCAATACAATCTCCCATGATCGTCGTTCTATTCCATTGCGAAACACAGTGCTTGTAAATTTTTAATTTCAATAGTACGACATCGTCTATTCCATGAAAGGTTTTCCTGCACCCGTTTCCACCATTTATCACAGTAGGTTGTATCAGAGAGGACGCCCCAGTGAGCAATGAAATGTCAGACTGATGTCAGCAGAACGATATCAGTTATCAGAAACGTGTCAATTTCAAGACCACATTTTTATCAATCTGATGCGAAAACCGACAAATTTCTTATGTCTGACATCGTTTTCCGATATCGGTCTGATATTGCATTGCTCAATGGGGCTACCCTGGTAGCAGAACTGCATCATGACTGCATTATATGTCCAATCTAAAACGCGAATTTTAGACGGCTTAGGCGCATTTTAAGCGCTTTTTGCATATTAAATGCGCATTTTAGCTTGGATCGCAGTCATACATAAAGCAGTTTTGTTGCTTTTTCTACCTGCATTCCTCATTATTCCCAAGTAACAGAGATTGGTCAAGACATCAAACTGACAAAATATTGACCTAATTTTTATCAAACAAGTCACAGCAGCTACATTGTGACTTGGAATTGACCACTTATTGACCAAGACTAAAATGTGACGAATATTTGACTGTTTTGCACAGTGATAGAATTTGTCATGTTTACGTTATGTAAACATGAGTTTAAAACACGTTCAGTGCCAGGCCATTTTTAATTTAAAAAGTGTCCGACCTCACGGTGGTCGTGCGGCACAAGGGTGCCAAAAAGTGCACGACCTCTGGTGTGGTCGTGCGGCATTCAAGCGCCTAACATTGCCCAAGAGCCCGGCAGAGACTGCCACGACCACGGAGAGGTCGTATGGCACTTCGGGCCTGGTGGCATACGACCACCGTGTGGTCGTATGGCACTTGGGGACTGGTCGTATACGACCACCGTGTGGTCGTATGGCACTCAGCGACATTCGCCTACGACCACCGTGTGGTCGTATGGCACTCAGCGACATCTGCCTACGACCACCGTGTGGTCGTATGGCATTTAGGACCTTCAGTTATACGACCACCATGTGGTCGTACCTTTCATGGTGCCAAGTGCCATACGACCACACGGTGGTCGTATACCCCCAGTCCCTGAGTGCCATACGACCACAAGTTGGTCGTATAACGACAGTCCCCATGTGCCATACGACCACTCCGAGGTCGGGGTAAGTCGCGGCCAGGTTCCCTGCAAGAAATACTGCCCGTTCGTGCCAAATGACCACATAGAGGTCGTAAGCCCTGTGTCTTTGAAATGCCATACGACCATCATGTTGTCGTCCAATACAAAACCTTGAGTGCCATATGGACACCTACCGGTCGTATCTTTATCTCCGATCCACAGGCCAAAGGCGGGGTTTTGATTGTCTACCCGAGACACCCCTAGGCCAGACATATTTTTGGTCTAGCATCAACCCCCAGGGTTTGAGAAATTAAAACTTAAAATTAGCTATTTGGAAACATGGTGGTCGTGTGGCACTGAACGTGTTAAACCACTAGAGGCACGTAAGCCTGTGCCACGTGGATCAGGGGCTAGCAAGTTACCACTGGGATTGAAAGGTCTTGGGATAGAATCCCACCTGGAAATAGCATTTCATGTCAAATTCTGGCGGTTCAAAGCTGAGAAAGTGGATACTCACAGCGACTCATATGTTAGATTTAACGGGTGATTTGCATGACTACTTGTAGAACACGATGCACTGTGGGGGAATGCCCAAAACCGACTCAGAGTAGCCCAGGTAGCCCGGCAAATTTGTAATAGCGCAAGACTCGCCTTCGCCTTGATTTATATGAGTTATGTTTATGTTTGTTTATGTTTTGTTTTTTTAGTATTCCTTTTTTGGGGGGGAAGGGGGCGGGTTGTAACGGCTACCCAGTGAGAAACGATTAATTAAAAATACATCAATTTGACGTAAATTCGTCAAAACATCATCAAATCACGGGACAAGTTTTCGTCAAAATCACGTCATGTACGTCAAATTGATGTCTTTTGGATTGATAATTTCTCATAGGGTAGGTGCATTGCAGTATTCTATAATCATTTCCGGGCTTCATTGTGACATTAATTCACCTCATTTTAATGCCGATTGACGTCATTTAGAACCCTTTGGTATTGCCTGATCAGGTCTCAAATTACAGCCTGTACTTACCCATTGTTTGTCAGTGAATGGCTTCAACAAGGTGACGTTGCCCGTTAGTGTTTGCGGTACATGCGCCTTATTCACATTATACTTTGTTACAGCCATTTGTATTACCGTCGCGTCGTTTGCCTCTTTGGGTTCACAATTGTAAAATTTCTCAGCGTATGCGTAATATGTTCCCTGAAATATTTTCACAGTTAATATCTTAGCGCCGCGTGCCTTTATTTTTTTAATATCATAGAACTTTGTCGAAAAGGCACAGAAAGTATTAATGTGTATACATAGAGAGAGCAACTTACATTGTTTGCAATAATAGGAACGACTAAAATACTCACAAACCCCGTCGAGCTGGAAGAGACTCCTGGCCCGAGAAGGCTCAAGGCGGCGGACAGCTGCAACAGGCTCGTTGCCAACCTAACCTGAACCACCTCTGGCCTGAGCCTCCCGCATGCAGCCATGGTGGGCGGGTCGCGCAGAGGACGCAGACGGCGTGTGCGGACACACTGGACTCATGGGCTGATCAACGGCACACATCAGCGAGCGTCACAAAAAAAAATGGCATGACCCTCATCTAACCACGATGTTTGGCTTTGTCATCAGGAGCAGTTTCCGGTAACTCTTTCACGGAAACAGAAGGTATTTTATCGCGATTAAAAAACAATTGTTTGAGAGTTATTCTTGCAGGTGGGCAACCGGCTCGCACGTTTGGTTAGTCCAGGAAGGTGAGCCCACAATAACAAGCCTAGTCACACTTCATTTAAGCTTACACTTATGTTCACAAGGGGCGTGTAAAGTTAAGCACGCGTGAGCGTTTCACGTGAGATGAGCGTCCTGGTGAGAGGCAAAATGACGCGAAAATTGACAAACCCATAGATTTTCAGAGAGGAGGGACTAAGAAGAGTGCAATCCTGCAAAATTATTTTCAATTCGAAGTCGTTTCGTTTAGTATATGGCACCGCACATTGCTCGTGTGAGCGTACTTAACTTTACACGCCCATGGGATAGAAAGTGCTGCATGTTAGTTTATTTAACAATTTAAGAGCTTCTATATTATTTATGCCGTATAGGAAAATTGGAATATTCATTAAAGAGATAAAACAATCATCCGTGCTTTCTGGGGACGACCCGGCCCTCGACGTTGTGGCAGCCGTACACGTCCTCGCCGACACCCCCGGTCACGTGGAACCTGAAGAACCCGTACGGCAGCACGGGGAACTTGGGGAAGGTCCAGTTCATTGGCTCGTCAACCACGGTGTACACGCCCTGGAAATGAAATAGGCGCGCGGCCCAGTCCCATCTGACAGGAGCGATCTCTTAGAAATGTTTAAACCATTTTATCTTTGCACACTAAACGTGAGCGGACGCAAGTATTGTTGCAACAAGTTGTTGCCTGCTTACTGGTCGGACGGAGCACTCTTTCCCCTCGCCCTCTTTCTTGAACAGGGCGTTGAAGAGTTGCGGGATGTGGGTGCGCAGGTTGGAGCAGCCATGGTCCTGGAAGGCGAACAAGAGCGCGTTCGGCTTCCACTCGCCGTTTGAGTAACCGTCAATGCGGGCCCTACCCTGGAAGCCGACAGGGACATGAAGAACGTCGAGCTTCTACTCAGAACGCTGTATTTCACGGTTAAATTCATGCGAAGAATTTTGCTCCTTTGTAACTACGAAGCATTTCCTTCGCAATTACAAAGTGATGCTTTGCAATTACAAAGTGACACTTTGCAATTGCAAAGCGATGCTTTGCAGCGTTTTCATTGCTTCGCAATTGCAAAGCATCACTTTGTAATTGCGAAGTAAATGCTTCGTAGTTACAAAGGAGCAAAATACTTCACAGCTCTGCAAAGCGAATGCTTTGTAGGAACAGTGTTGACTGTTTTGCACAGTTCATATTTCGCCCCCCACTTGACAAGTCATTGATCGTGATGTCGCCTTACACGATGTCCAAACCGCGCCAGTCTTTGCTCCTTTGGAAACACCGCACAGTTATCCGGAAAAAATGATGGAGTCTCGACCGCGGTAGCCGGCGCGGCTGTAGCGGGGTGCGCCGTAAGGTAGGCCGCCCAACGTTCACCTCCTGCACAGCCAGGCCGGTGGGCAGCAACCCCGGCCTAGCGTCCTACAGTATGCCAATAAGTCCTTGCTTCCTTGCTCGAAAAACATGGAGTCAAGCGCCGTGGGGACGAAGCGTGCTCCGCTAATAATTTGAGCCGCAGGGTATTACTTTCATGCCACTTCGATGTCAAGAAGCTCGTTAGGTCAAATCTTTGCTCTGAGAGTTTTGTAACTGACTTCTTTGTGGTGCGTTTCAACAGCCAAATCTGAAGCGCGCATTATGGCATAGTCTACTCACCCACATTTCGTCGACAAGCGGCGTTGTCGTGTTGAAGCTGACTGTGATCAACTGCAACGCGTTCTGCTTTCTCATGTCGACTCTGGTTGCTTTCAGATCTAGCTTCATCTTCCCGCTGCTCTCTTTCGGACCACATGGGTACCCTTTCTCGGCGTAAACCGAGTACGGGCCCTGAAAGATTTGCTTCAAATATTTAGGCCGCTAATCTTTCTGTATGTATGCGCCTAGAAAGATGTTTAGGGATAGTCCAGAAAGTCTGCCCGTTTCCCTCAGGTACATTAGCCAAATTACGGGAGCTCAGCGCCTGTCCAGCTCAGGGTAGGCCACCCCGCGGTGCATGCATGCACTGCAGGCAAGATATTGCCTATCTGCCAGGCGCCTTAAGAGCTTGCATTTGCGGAACTTGGCAGCAGTTACGAAACGGTAAGTAACGGATTCACCTAATTTCTAAATTACTTCACCACAATAAGTGCGATAATTGCATTGCAAAAATGAGCGCCATTATAACTTTACTATGACTTTAATATTTCCCACCCTCGTTCATGCCGCCATGTCATTGAACGTCGTGTACGTCGTGTACAGGCAGATGTCATGGAGGAAGACACCACAAATCCATCGCAAAGGACGCTAACTTAGCGACAAACAACAGCGACGACTAACCTGCTTGCCAATCATTCTTTATTTTGTTTCAAACTGCCAACGCCAACACACAATAAACGGTGCCAAAACATATTCGAAATCGCCTCTATTGCGCAGTATTGTAAAGGATCTCAGTCGCGCGCATGCGCAGACTCGTTTGTGTGATGGACTACACTGGACGGAATTAAAATGAACGTGTAGTAAATTTGACAAGTGTTCTCAAAACTACGCTCACACAACTGAAAAACATGTCTAGTTATGGAATACATAGGACAACGCGCCTTTCAAAATGATCACACAACCGTGCCTTGTAATTTTCATACTTCATACATGAATTGATGTTTCTAAATTAGAACACACCAAAGGACGATACCTTTTACCCCATAAAATACATAGGGAAAATAGTCTCCTATAAAGATCCTACAACCGAAGTGGAAGTGAACTTCACTCGATGTTCGACGAAGTTCACCGGCCGTTGTTTATCGCAATCTACCGCATTTCATCGAAGCCTAATGAAGTTCTTTGAAGTTCACTAAACTTCCACAAGTTTACAAAATTGATTCTGTACCCCAGACACACTGATGCGCGCGCCTGCAGTCAGTCTCACGGTCAGAAGTCATGGCTTACCGACCAAAATCACAATAATTAGTTAGAGCAATGTCATTTTTACTCGATGTAAAACAAATATACTGTTCATAACAGGTCGTAGTTTCCGAAATTCACACAAAAAACACCGCAGTTTTCGAAAAAGTACACCGACTGCAAAGTCTATTGCTGCTATTGTATGAGGGGGGAAAGAGAAGGAAGAGAAAAAGTAAAAAAGCAATGTCAAAAAACTCACAAAAAGGTTCAAAGGGTTGGCTGCAGCTCCGCCGAGCAAGCTAAAGACTGCAAGCAGTTCTACCAGGCTTGTTGCCATTGGACTGCGGCGAGCACTATGGGCGGCACCAGCGTGCGGACTCACTGAGCGCACATGTACATCGCACTGGGGCGTGCGCGAGGCCACGCCGGGCAAACTTTATTGGACAATATAATGCCGTGTGCTGACGCCATCCCGTCCTGTTATAATGAGCACCATTGTGTGATGTATCACACTGGCTGATCCCTGGCCAGGTCGTCCCTATGCTCTACAGCGGCAGGAAGAAGGCGATCCCGGTCTGCGGCCTGGGCGGCCCCGCCCGGGGCACGACGGCGTCGACGACATCCTCCTTGCCAGCGTCTCCCCTGGGATGGTAGACGAGTCCGTGGGGCGGGCAGGGCC